CCTCCCACCTGCCCGCATCCGCCCCCTCTTGGTTCTGGTCCCACTTGTTCCTGGGCCTGTCTGCTCGAGGACCCCTGTCCTCCTTGCACTCGGTCGGTCGCGAGAAGGGCCGTGCCCATGCCGACCCGCGGGCTCCAGCCCCGCCCCGACTCCTCCTCGAGGCCCGCCCTCCCCCGCTTCCGGCTCACGCCGCGGTCGGGCCCACAGCCATCCTGCTGGCACACCTGAAGCTGAGCCCCGCGGAGCTGCGGCAGGTGCTCATGAGCATGGAGCCCCGGCGCCTGGAGCCCGCGCACCTGGCGCAGCTGCTGCTCTTCGCGCCCGACGCCGACGAGGAGCAGCGCTACCAGGCCTTCCGCGAGGCGCCCGGCCGCCTCAGCGAGCCAGACCAGTTCGTCCTGCAGGTGCCGCAGTGTGACCCCCGCCCGGGCAGGGGCTGCTGTCTGGCCTCCATCGGGGCTGTCGCTGTGTCCGGGGGCTGAGGGGTTCTGCTGTCCCACCGCCACCGCGCTCACGCCTTTGAGTACAGTTTTTTTTTTTTAAAGATTTATTTATTTATCCATATAGAACTGGGGTACAGGCCAGAGAGGTGGAGGGTGAGAGGATTCACCAGAGACAGAGTGGAGTGCAGAACAGGCAGATGGACGAAGTACACTGCTGAGGGGAGCAGCTGGCGGGTCAGGAGAGGTCTGCCATGCCATGTGGATCTCCTCCAGGGCAGATGGGAATCGAACTCATGCAGAAGTGGCTCAAGCTTCTCGGTGCAGTGCTTTAACCCGCTGAGCCACCAGGGAGGGCCCTGAGTACAGTTTTACTTAACCTTTGACACCTGCTCCCGCCTGGACCGAGGCAGATGGGATGAGGGTACCCCCTGAAGTGTTCATTCTTTTGTAAGAAACTCCAGGCAGCCAGAGGACCCCCTCCCTCTGCCAGGGCTGCAGTGGGGCAGTGGGCTTCCTGGGATGGGGCTGAAGAGCAGATGCAGGCTGGCTCTGTCTTCCCGCTAGATGCTGTCGGTCCCTGAATACAAGACCCGCCTGCGCAGCCTTCACTTCCGAGCCACCCTACCAGAGAAGACAGAAGAGATCAGAGGTAGCCTGGAGTGCTTGCGCCAGGCGTCCCTGGAGCTCAAGAACAGCCGGAAACTTGCCAAGATCCTGGAGGTGAGCACACCCCTTCCCTGGTCACTCCACCTGCCCCACTGCTGTGGGGCTTCCAGCCCTGAAGGCCCATCCTCATGGCAACCAGGGGCTAGGGGAGGCGGAGGGCCTGGACAGGACACTCACCCACCTTCCTCTCCAGTTTGTGTTGGCCATGGGCAACTATCTCAACGACGGACAGCCCAAAACCAACAAGACCACAGGCTTCAAGATCAACTTCTTGACAGAGGTGAGGGGCCAGTGAACAGTAATTGATTAGCTTGCATCAGCCAGACATCGCCTCACCTGTAGGGGAGGGGAGGAAGCAGCATGATGGGGGCCGGGGTGGGGAGAGCTGGCTGCCTGCCTGCCCAGATGTGAGGCAGCAAAGGCTGTACATGGTGCATGCGGGGTGGAGGGCTCGGCACTACCACCACTGTCATGCCAGTCTTACCCCTTCAAGATATGGCATCAGAGAAAGGACAGCTCACATGTCCATGCTCCCCCAGTGTTTCTGGAACTTTTCTCCAGGTTGCCTTTTGTTGTTCCTAAAGAAGAGAAAGAAAAATCCCATTTGTACTATGAAAGATCGAGAGTATCTGAGGCTTAAATGGGTCACTGACAGCTCCAAAAAGTGTAAGAGGGAAAATCTGAGTGATGTTTCTCACCCCCTGGAGTCAGAGATGCTTGGGCTATTGTTGCTAGAGAAAAACTCACAAGGACAGAACAGCCAGGAAGCGCAGGCAGTGGGCCTGCTTCCTGGGGCCTCGAGCATCTGGGCCTGGGAACTCCCAAACTCGTGGGAGGCCGCGGCATCCCAGAGCTTCACAGCAAATGTGGAAGGCCCGGAATCGATGCCAAGAAGCAGGGTCCAGGCGATAAGGACTCTAACGGGGCCCTTGAAGAGGTCTGTGTTGGCTTCACTTGCAGCTGAACTCCACCAAGACCGTGGACGGGAAGTCCACCTTCCTGCACATCCTCGCCAAATCGCTAAGCCAGCACTTCCCAGAGCTTCTGGGCTTTGCTCAGGACCTGCCCACAGTGCCCCTGGCTGCCAAAGGTAGGCTGGGTGGGCACGTAGGGAGGCAGAGACTGCTGTGCTGGCGGGGAGGGCAGCCCCACAAGACTTTTGTGCCCTCTCCTACAGTGAACCAGCGGGCCCTGAGCAGTGACCTGGCTGACCTCCATGGCACCATCAGTGAGATACAGGCTGCCTGCCAGAGCATGAACCCTTCCAGTGAGGACAAGTTTGCTGTGGTCATGGCGGTATCCTCTGAGCAGTCAGACCCAGCACTGGTGGTCGGGTGGTGCTGTTGATGTTCCAATGGCCACTGCAGACCCGTGCCATAGGGTCTGGGCAGGGGATGCTTTGGTTGCTAGAGGAGGTTCTAGCTTGGGTGATTTAGCTTAATGACCCATTTAGCATAATAGGCCAGGTCTAAGTACATATGCCAAGTCTGTGTAACTGAGGATGAGCTCTTTTGATTGTTCTAGAGCTACTGCCTGGCCCCACCTGTCCTTTTACAGTAGAGCTTGGACAGTCGTCTCAAGACACAAGGAGAGGCCTGTCAGGACCAGGCCAGCCGAAGCAGGCAGGAAGGGAAGTTTCCCACTGCACGCAGAGAGGGACAAATGCTAAGGTAGAGGCCTAGAGCTGGCCGAGTAGCTGGGCTACCCTGAAGGAGTGGGTGGGAAGAGCAGAGCCCAGGGAAGAGAGCAAGTGAAGGTCTGAGGCTGTGCTGGAAGCTGCAGCTTTCCTGACAGACTTGGAGGACAGTGGTGGGAGGGCTAGAGCCTCTCAGCCAGGCTGGATCCAGCTGAACACAGGGCCTGGGGGCAACAGAGTCTGGGGTCACTGCCCAGGGACTTGGGGCACCTGGCAGGCTGGCAGTGTCCTTAACAGAGCCCCATCAGGCCTTTCTGGAGACAGCACAGCCAGCGCTGAGGGCGCTCGACGGGCTGCAGCGGGATGCCATGGAGGAGCTGGGCAAAGCGCTGGCCTTCTTCGGCGAAGATTCCAAAGCCACCACCTCCGAGGCCTTCTTTGGCATCTTTGCAGAATTTATGAGCAAGTTTGAGGTGAGCCACGGTGGGAGGCCCGAGGGACCCCCTCAGGTGAGGTGGGGCCAGAGGGAAAAGGGGGGTTGGGAAAGTGTCCTAGTGAGTGACCTCCCCACACACTGGGGTGGAGATCATAGGTCTCTGCCCTGGTTTTTGGATGGAAGCAGGCCAGTTTGAGGGGCTCCAGGGGCCACTGGCCAGCCCTCCCTCATGCTGCTACCCTTCCAGAGAGCACTCAGCGACCTGCAGGCCAGCGAGAGCACTCGCAGTTCCGGAATGGTTTCGCCCCTGGCCTGGTGATGGCAGTGGCCACATACCCTCTGTGGTCTGAGCGCCTGGATGGACACTGACGCTGGAGGCTGCACCCCAGAGAGGCTGCAGTCCCAATGCTGCCAAGGTCCTGGGGGCCCCACTCCCAACCCTTCATGCTAATGCTCCCAGCTGGGACCTAGACTCCATCCCTCCCAGCCCACTGCCTGCCCTTCATAATCCTGGAGCATCCTTGTATGGACTGGGTCACCCCCAAGTTTTCAGCTACCTCAGCTGTCCAACTCAGCTGCCCACAGAGGTACAGGGTTCAAAGGGGCCACCCTCTCTGGGGCCGAATGTTGGGGGATGGGCAGGGGGAGATGTGCTGAGTCCCCAGGGGAGCAGGAACTGTGGCCACTCTCCTGACCCTCGCTCAGCCTCACTCCAGGTCCCCTCCTGGTCCAGTACTGGTATATGCACCCTTGGGAGGTTTCGGTTGGGGAAGGGGGACTATGACCACTTCTAGTACTTGGATTAAGAAGTGGCTGCCACCCTGGGCACAGATCTGCAGAGCACACCTGTCCAGGCAGGAGAACACTGACCATCCTTTCTGAGCCCAGAGGGTGCTCTCGGAGCACAGACCTTGTGGACCCGGACCCTGTGAGAGGACACACACCTTTGAGCACACCACGCCTGCCCCAAGAACATTATAAGGCCTGAGGTCCTGCCTGAACCTGGGAGCATGCCCTCCTGGCCTGGGTCTGGGAGCTGGACATTATCTGCAGCCCAGAATGGGGGGAATGGTATTGAGTTAGGAAGACCCTCTGTGTCAGACTGTAGAATCAAGGTGTTTATCTACCTAATTAGCTTAATTCCAGGCTAGAAGTGCTCATTTTGAAGTGTGGAATCAGAATGGGGTGGGGGCCCTCAAAATAGAGACGGAGAGAGAATCCAGAGGTGTTTAGTGGTAGATGAGCAGGATTTGATGACTGATCCCCTACCCAGAGTAGGTATCATGTCCCGGGATCAGTCATATGAGCAAAGCAGGCTTTGGGGCAGATGGCACAGTTTAGGACTTACTAAAGATCCCAGAGGTCATCGTATGTGTGTGTCTAGAACCCTTGGTGTTGAGGAGGGGGTCCCTGGATACCAGCAGCAGGGGGCTGTTGGCAGGGAGGATTTGTTAGCTGGTTTCATCCTTCTGTGCTGCAAATGGCAAATCCTGCTTCAAGCAACTTTCCGCTACCTCTTCCCTTAACTTTTTTTCCAGAAAAGATGGGCTATAAACCTATCTCTGAGACTCTTTTTCTCCTATTGGGATCTCATGACTTATGTAGGTCCTGGGCAGGATTTGGGGCCCAGTTAGTTCTCAGTCTCCCTGCGTTGAGGCCTTGCGTGTCCTTTCTTTGTTCCCCATTGGTCACCAGCTCACAAAAAGGCTGAGCCAAAATGTACAATTCCAGGGGTGGGGGCTAGTGACATTCAAGGCCTTTAGCAACCCAAGCTGGATCATTTCCATAAGTTCCCAAAGCCTGTGTCTTTGAAAAATATTATAGAAGTTCTGTTAAAATAAATCCCCATGTGAGATCCATATAAGTTATAGACTCCCCCAGGCTATGAGTCGGAGCAACTCCCCAGCCCCAGGGAGCCCACTTGGTGTTTTCCAGCAAATTAGAAGAATATGTTCTGTCCAGTTTCATGCCAGTAGGCACAGGCTGGCAAGTCAAGCACTAGCTAGGTTTTCTCCCTAAAAGGCCTTGTGTTGGTTTTCTGTTGGCCATTCCATGCTTTGTCATAAACTGTCCCAAAACTCAGTGGCTTAAAATGGCAGCCACTTAGTGCTCCTTGAATTGTTGGGTCTCCTGGGCAGTTCTGACCGAGTTGGACCTAGTAGACTCACTTGTGTTTTCACAGTTGTCTGGGAGGCTCCAGGCAGCTTTGCTGATCACACAGAGTGCTCTCCCATGACTGGGACCGTGGCTTCCTGTGGCCTCTCATCTGCCAGCCTCATGGCCAGAATGTTCACATGGTGGGGGTATGGGGGTGGGAGGTGGCAGGGATTCGAGGTACAAGCAGAGGTACAGAAGATGCTCAGGCACAGGAGCCTGAGCTCAGAACTGGCATACCCGCTCATCTGCCACATTCTGTTGTCAAAGCAAGCGACCAGGCAGCCCAGCCCAAAGTCTGAGGGTGGGGAAACAGGCTCCAGTCTTGATGAGAGATGTGGTACAATATATTACAGAGGCTGTGGATTCAGGGGAGGGTGGAGAAATAGGGCTGTTTTGCAACCAATCTACAATATGCTCCCTTGGCCAGCAACCTGGTGCAGACCCCAGGCTCTTTAAGATCTCAGTGACCCTGGTTCTGCCTGGATCTCCCACAACTCTGTTTCCCATCCCCATGTGCCATTCAGGTGGCATGCTCCTCGCTCTCCTACCCCATCACTCTGGGAGTGGCCTGACCTCCAGACACACTTCTTCCAAGGGGCAGCAGGGAAAGCTCTGTCTTTCCCTTGGAAATTTTTCCTCCCCTACTACCAGACTCTGGAGCAGGCTCTTATTCAGACTCTGCTGAATAGGGATGGTCTCCTATCTCCAGCTGGGTGGCAGAGAATAAAATCAGGATTCAGAACTGTTAGGAAAGGAAGGCTCCCTGTCTTCTGGGTGAATTTCTGAGTATCTCATGGGTAGATGCCTAGAGGGAACTTCCAGAACAGTCGTGTGGGAAGTACTGCCTGGTATAAAGTCAATACGGGTGAGAAGAGGGATCACTCCACAGAGCTCGTTGTCCCTGGATCCAGCCATGCCTGAAGCAGATACCTGGACTTGCCAGCCTCTGAGCCGACAAACTCACCCTCCATTTGTAATATTTTAAAATTTTATTGTTTTTGGTTAGGTGGGGTTGTGTCACATGCAATGCTAAGAGGGTTGACCAGTATATCCAGCAACACATGGTTATTCGTGTTCAGTCTTCATATTCTCAGTGAGCTTTCTTTATTCATAAATGCATTCACCAGTACTTTTCATCTGCCTACTACGTGCCATGCACGATGTTGGGTGCCAACGTCACACGGGTCATCCTTGCTTAGTTTGGTTTCCTAGAGCTTCATTTCATAGTGGTTCTACACCTGAGTCAGGACAAAGCCCTATTCCTCCATACACACTCCATCCCTCACCAAATGACAAGGTGTGAATGCAAGCACTAAGCCCCAGAAATGTATTTGTCTCTCAGTAATAACAAATTAACAGCCTACTTACACAGCACTTTTCCTGGTAACAATCGTGAATGTTTACTAGGTCCCAATGGCCCATTGTTATTACAAATTCCATTTCATTTGACTTTTCACATCAACCCTCAGAGGTGGGTTTTGTTATCTCTTTTTTGCAAATAAAATTCTGGAACTCAGGAAGGTTATATGACTGGATGAAGAAGTTAGGTCTCTCTAAATCCAAAGCTCATCCTCTGAGTGGACATATCTTTTTGGTCTTGCTTAACATGTTTTTCATTGTTCCTGTATCAGCACGCCAAGACTGGGATTTCAACATAAAGCCCTGGCTTCTTTTCTCACCGCCTCCTGTCTCTCCCTGTTTGAGTCTGCTCAGATCACTAGAGCAGAAAATGGCAGGCTGAGTGACTTAGGCAACAGGGATGAATTCTCACTGCCTGGGGGCAGGAAATCTGAGATCTGGGTGTTGGCAGCCCTCGTTTCCCCTGAGGCTTGTCTTGCAGAAGGCATCTTCTTGTGTGTTCTCACATGGTCTTTTCTGTGCGTGCATCCTTGGTGTCTTAATAAGGACCATAACACTCAGATATCATAGTCTGATTTCCAGAAGGCTTCAAAGGTCTCTAGAGTGGATTGATGCTTCAGGGAAAAAGACACAGGCATGTCCACGATTCATTGACCACAAGTCACTCTCCTGGGCCTCTCCCTGCCCCCCTACACCTCTGTAGTCCTCCAGAAACAGCCTAGATGCCAGACCAGTGTCCCCACTCCTCCCTTTGAGCCCAACTCTCAGAGCTCACTGCTTACCCTCACACTGCGGTCTGCCTTCCTCCCATCGCCCCTCAGAACATGCTGTCACCCCACAGGAAGCCATGGAGAGCGCTTGTCCACCTTATCTGAGTTGAACTTTAATCAGCTCAACACTTTATTTACCCTCCTTTGGCAAATTCTCGCACACCCTGGCTTCAGCTTCCAGGTGGCTGCTTGCTGATAATCCTGTGACTTCCCACTGATCCAGCTCCTTCTTGCCTTTGCACACAGTGAGCACTCAGTAATTGCCCATTAAATCAGACCAAACAACATCAAGATTGGGGGCTACCACGGTTGAGCACCAAAGTACTCAAGAAAATGACTGCTTCCTCACAGTTTGGTGTTGTGTCTCTGAAGTCCTAAAACAGGGTTGCAAAAGAAAAGCAGAAGCCAGATGAGATGCAAATCTATGAAATGTGTGCAGGAGTTAAAAAAGCAAAGACAAGTCCAAGGATGAATGGTAACCAGGGGAGAGACAACGGGGGTGGGCGTAGGGCCGAGGGAGTGGGAGCCCTGGCTGCAAGGGCCGCTTCATTCTCCTCCAGGCAATAGCCTTCCATGGGGGAAAGCAAGTCCTGTGTTGCCCAGTTTTTAGGCTTCTCAAGGTAGAAAGTAGAAATGCAGACTTATTTAAAAGATTCTGATGAAATGCTGGCAGTCAGTTGAAAGCTTAAGAGTCTGAATTATGAGCCAAAGAGCACAGGCTGGAGCCCAGTGGTGAGTTTGCAATCCCTGAGACAAACACATGCCTGAAGATGTGCTCATGCTCCCCTGTGGTGAAGTGGGGTACCCCACAACAAGAGATATGATTGGCTATTCATTTTAGCAAGTGAACTATGTTTGGGACTAGTTGGCAGTTCAGTTTCGGGGTGAGAAGACACTACTGACCTTATATTGAAGATGCTCTTTGCTTTGGGAAATTCACCCAGGTGGGACATTAAGACCCAGGAAGGTCAAACTCGCTCAGTGTTCTGGGGGAGACCTGTGAGCTCATCGTGGAGCCAAGGGGTGAGGGTCTGTTGAGTTGTGCAGATTAACAGCATCGTTATCTAGATAGTGTCATGGAAGGTGGTGTTTTCTCTAAAGATATCTTGACTGAATTCCCATGTAGTGATTGTGTGTCTTGGGGCCAAGTGGACTTAGTGTGGGAGTTTCAGAAAACTCCCCATTGTCAAGCCTCCAGGGGTAGGCAAGACGGGAAGGTGCACGGAAGTTATCACCTCTCGATCCTGGGGACACCCCACTAATCTGAGATGATCTGGTCAAGAACTCCAGGGAGAGAAATGAAGACCCTGAAGAGGGAAAAAGTACACTGGAACATCCACCAATGGGTAGATGGGAAGGTGTGTTGGCAGGACTTGTAGGTTAGGAGCAAATTGCTTCAGGGAATGCAAACAACTTGAGGTGGGGGGTGGTTTGCATCAGAGAATCTGGGCTGTGGTGTCAGGATGCTAGCAACAAGAGTTGCAGCATATGGCTACCTCCCTCAGGGAGCCCCAGAAACCCCTTGAGGAGGGGACCCCTTGAAGGAAGACCTCTCCCTGCCAGCCTGAACTGTAACAGCCTTAGAATCATTGTGACTAGAGCATTAGATAAAGTGATTGTGTCCTTCAATTTGGTGAAATAGATGCTCCAGTTACTAGGAAATTGACCCCAGAGACTTAATCAGAAATGCATAGACATTGAGGCACAAGGTTGCTCATTATGGAGTTAATCAGAAGCAACAAGAATATGCTGGAATACTGTGTCCAACAGAAGGGATGGGTGAAGCAGATGAACAGTCATGTTGGAATATTGAAATATTGAGGCATTCTTAAGGCGATGGCAGAATGTGTATGCTATAACAAGTGAATAAAAATGCAAAATTGGATGTCATAAGATGACCTTGTGTTAAGTGAGACTTCTTGAATCCTTGAGGAGAGAATAAGAAGAATCATGTTCAACAGAACTGTAGTCTTGATGTCTGTGTGTGATATCACTCGGAACTGAAGAATGTGGACAATGGAGGATATACTGATGCTAAACTTCTATTAATCATCTTTTGGGTTTTTCTCCTGATGAAATATAAGTTATATTAGTAGCCATCCTGGAAAAAAGTGAGTCTTGGGCTCTGAAATAGGGACTCAGCCAGTTTTGGTCTGAACTAAAGATGATCATTCTTTCCGGCCTGAATTCTGAGGCTTGAAGCTACCTGGGGTGTTTTCAGCAGAAGTGAGTGAACCCTGCCACATGGGGTGTGGCAATGGCACTCTTGGTTGTGTGTGAAAGCCCGACCCACCGCCGCTCTCCCTGACAAACCCAATGGACACTTGGCAGACATCTTCCATAACGTGTCTGCCCCCACTGGGCTAGTTTACTGGATGTTGTGTGGGCCCCCTTTAAGCCAGGCTAATCAATGAGGCTCTCCTGAGAAGATTTAAAGCACATACTAGACTCTCTACAGCTGCTTTCTGGAAAAGAAGAGGTGAAAACTTGCTGGGTGGCCTGCAGAGAAAGACCCGAAGTGCACCCCACTTAAATCCTCCTAAGTGTCAGTTATGTCACGAACAGAAAATTGTCCTCAGATTGTCAAGGGTCTTTCAGTAATTGATCCTGACCAGTAAAGGAATCTGTAGAAAGTTGTTCTGAAGTCTTCAATGAACAGCATATTATCAAAAGTGTGTGTGTGTGCGTGTTGAGGCATCTACACACATTTGTATCCATGTCTATACCCACATAGGAAGTAATTCCTAGTTTTTCTGAAGACATCATGAACAGGGTACATGGTATAGAAATAAATCTCAGGTAAAACCTCATCCATTCAGAGATTTACATTTTCACAGTAAACTCAGATGCAGAAAGAAGCACGATTCCTTCTCACTGTCTTACACAGCAGACAGAAATGTATACAGAAAGTTTTGGTAATGCATTTTTAAAACTGAAACTTGCTCTCACAAACTCTAGAAAACAGTGAAAAGAAGTGACTAATATCTGGTGTGATCATGTCAATTGGAGCCAACACGCTGTCATTTTATTGGTAAAAATAATAGCTCACAAAGCCTACTCATACCAAAAGATATACTATACTTAAAAAAAGAGATGGAAAGAGAACAGTCTTTTCCAAATATTTGGATAAATTCAGTGTTTAACTTTGTATTGCCCTGTTAGGTCATTTTATGCCTTTGTGTCTCAGGTAGATAAGTGATCATGCGCTCTGAAGCTTTGTCATTCATGGGAAAAGAAGGAGTTAGTGACAGTGCCACAGGTACTTTGCTGAACCGCACAGATCTGTTCTGGATACACATTTTGTTCTGTATATACATTTTGCAGAAATTGCCAACACATCACTGTACAAATCAGTTTGTATGGAACTGCTTGCCAGTAAGTGCTTGCCAACAACCAGGAGGTCCAAAAATAGGGGATTGGTGAAATACATAATGGGTTCCTGGATCACTGTGAGTTTTGAGACAAGTTTTCTGGTAGGTACCATCTTTTTCTTTTAATTATTTATTTATGCATACAAGAACTGGGGTGTAGGTCAGAATTGCTGGGGCGCGGGGACCAGAACAGGCAGAGCTACTGAAACACTGCTGAGAGGAGCAGTGAGCAAGACAGAAAGGTCTGCTGTGCCATGTGGGTCAGCTCCCTGGCCCGGGATCAAACTCTAACCCCTGCACCACCAGGGAGGCCCAGGTGCCATCTTTTTCAAAAGGACTTTGGCGACACAAGAGGCAGTAGCCTATTTACAAGGGAATGCTTCAGTCCAGTGAGAAAACACACAAGCCATGACTAAACACTTCTCTAGGAGATGTGGGCAACTGTATGAAATCGAGTTGCCAAACAACAATGACCCATTAGACCTTTTTTTTTTTAAAGCATTTTTTCAAAGATGTATTTATTTATGTATACAGAACTGGGGTACATGCCAGAGGTGCAAGGGCAGTAAGAGGATTCACCAGAGACAGAGTGGGGAGCAGAACAGGCAGACTGATGAAGTACACTGCTGAGGAGAGCAGCAGGTGTTATAGGAGAGGTCTGCTGTGCCATGTGGGTCACCTCCCTGGCCGGGGATTGAACTCAAGCTGAAGCTGCACTTTAACCTGTTACAGCACCAAGGAGGGCCCCACTAGATCTTTGAAATGTTCAGGAGCCATGCGAGTAGGTCTCCCCGAATTGTATTGTGGATGGGTGGGACAAGTAAGGTAGGCACTGGCTGTGGCCCTATTAATGTTCCTCCACTGTGTTGACCCAGCAATGCTATAATTTTCTCACTAGACCAATGACTTAACACATGGACAGTGGGTAGTCTTCAGCAGGATTGGGTTATTTTTTTTTATTAAAAAGTTTATTTTTACATCATTTTGCACATTTTTTTTTTTCATCTCAATTGTAATCCCCACAGGATTGGGTTATTTTTGACCCCATCTAGAGATTTTTCTTGTCATACCAACAGTTATTAAATCTCCAATGTTGGTTTTCTCTTCCTGGGGTCAATTGTAGGGCTGCTTTGATCTATCCTAAGTTATCAATTGGAGAAGTGTCCCTCTGAGCCATGATTCAGGTTTGGTTGCTGTTGGTTTCTTTAGGAACAGCATGCCTGGTGGAAATATCAGCAGGGCGATTTCCTTTAGATTCTAGAGAGTAAACTTCAGAATGTCCTGGAGTCTTAATAATAGGTAAGACAGCAGGTAGAAATACAGCCTCCAACAGTCCCTGATCGTAAGGGGCATTTTGAATATTGTCTCCACTGGAAGTAGGGAAGCCATGTTGTTTCCACAATATTCTGAAATTATGAGCCATTCTGGAAGCTTATTTACCATGAGTAAACATTGGCAGTTTTGTGCTTGACTAGGCCCTCCAGAGTGCATATAAGTCAGCTGTTGGGCTGTAGTTGCGAAAGACAGAGGTGTGGCTTCAGTTACAAAAGGTGTTGCTATTGCATTTCCTGCACAACATCTACCATTTTTACCTTTCAAATGTGAGTTGTCAGGACCTGTGAGATGTCATCTTCACCCAAAGGAGCTTCCTGCAGATCATCAAAAGTGTTCAGATCATCACAAGTGTTCAGATCATCACAAGTGTTCAGATTGCATCTCAGTGAGAGGCAATCCCAAGGAGCTTCACTGGTTGCAGTAAGAAGGAATGTTGTTAGTTAAGCTTATAGTGTAGCAAAAGGTTTTCATAGGCAGTAAGGCAGAGTACTAAACTGTTGAGTGATGAGAATTCAGAACTCCTATAGCATGAGGGACCAAAATGGGGAAGAGAGGATCCACAGGGATTTCTTCTGTGGTCCTATAGGAGCAGCAGCAGCAGGCAGGGTCTCCTGTGCCAATATTGACAGTGAGATGGCAGTGTCTATGGGCGAACACCCCAAGAGCACGCCCTTCCTTCTATATGCAAAAGGGAAGAGGGAATCTAACCATTGGCATGTCCAAAGGCAAGTTGGAAAACACTCCTTTAAATCTGTGAAGACTTCCTACTTAATAGGGTATTGTATTGATTAACTCTGGGGAGAGTTGTTACAGTATCTATTTCAGACTTGATGGAGGGTGTATTATGAATTTTGCCAACATCTATAGGAGAATTCACCCATAAGCAGGATAATATTTGACTCAATGGGGACAGATGATCAGGTTTCAGCATCAACTGAAGCACCATTCTGAGATATGGCCGATAAAGGATGTTCAAGGCTCAATTCATTCATTTGGTTGACATCTTGATAATTACTGTCCACCTGTAGAGTTCTTTCTTCCTTTTGGAGAATGATATCCAGCATGATATTTTTCTAATAAGTCTTAACCCAGTAAGTGATGAGGGGTCGAGAAACCAGGAGAAAAGGATGGGCCCTAACAACAGGCAGTAAGTTTGTTAAGGGGAAGGATGTCCTAAAGGAACTCTGCAGAGTCTTGTGGACTCCACCCCCTACTCCAGCTTTCTGGACCCTATTCCCTACTCCAGTGATTGGAAACTACAACTCCCAGCAATACCAGGGAGAGAACTGCGAGGACCCAAGGGCAGAGCTAGCAGGAATGAATTCTGGGACATTTGGGGGATTAATAGGGCACTATTGAGGCTCGCGCTCTCTGGCTCGGAAACGGCTCTCCTGACCAGGTGACTGTGTGTTCAGTCAGCCTAGCCGTAAGGTATTCCACTTACGTTGTATCCCACTCTCTTTCCCTGGGTTGTTTCCTATTCCTTTCCCCTTTTGTAAATAAACCCATTATTGACCCATTTGTGTGTGTACCTGCAGTGTAACTGAGTTGTGAGCGCCCTGGTGAGGCCCCACAGACAGGCGGCCCAGTCCACTCTGGGCTACCCTGTAACAAGTTCATGGAACAGCAACTTTTTTCAAAAGAGAAAATCCCTCTCCAATTTACAGCTGTGAGTTAAGCATTAGTACAATGCTCTAGTGTCAAAACAAAGAGGTTCATTCCCAATCTGGAGATTTGTGTCTCTCAACTGATTAAGAGGGAGAGCTGGGGGAGCCCCTTGGCGTGCCTGAAAGCTCTGTTTGGGGACTGAAACTATGGAAGGGCTGGTTGTGTAGCAATAGCCCTCATGGTTCCTGGTCCTTTGAAGATGCGGGGGACTCCAGCTGAGCTGTATCAGTCTGGACTACTCCAGGGTTTGATGGCCAATCCCAACACAGCCAGGTTTGGTTTAAAGGGAAAAAAACACAAGAGTTTTGGACACGCAGGTCGGCCTTGAACCTGGCCCATACCACTCAGGCACAGCAGGGTTTGTGTGGCCAGCTTCCACAGGACTCTGCAGGATTGAGGGGGTGCGGTGTGCCAGGGTTTTGGGTTTCAATCTCAGCTGATTTTGAAAACGAATCAGGTCTGAGTTCCCAGCGTCACCAATTAGGTTCAAGTTTGTACTAGCACCAACTGAGTCTTGGAAA